GCAGACAGATCCTCCAGCTAACAACTCTCTTGCTGAGTCTCTTAGTGAGGGGGGGACTATTTTATTGGGGGGGCTACTCTTCCCAGGGTAGCCTTGAGAGGCTGAATCGATCAGCATCAATGTGGCTGGAAAAAAATACAGAGAACTTTGCTATTGCAGAAGGAAATTGTAGAGAGTTGTACATATGACATTTCTGGGATCGGGGGGGGGGGGGGGCTTTAAAACATCGTTGTCCAAGGTGCGCTCTGGATTCGCAGCAGAAACTATGACAAAACCCTCAAGTCGAAGCCACAGGCTGCTTTGTTGCCAAAGTTTTTTTCCTCCCCTCCTAGACTGGTTTTTAGAAACCACGCTTCCTCTGGTGGGGAGGAAGAAGTGGGGTTGGGGCTAAGTGGCGAAGACGGTTTTGTTCCCCAGCGCAGCAAGGAAAGGGCCCAGTGTTCTTTGGACGGTTCAAGGGACGCCTCAATAAGGAGGAGGTGGGGAGGCCTTGGTAGCCACATCTGGGTAGGGGCGCAGCGGCTCCGGGTGGTCGATGGGCTGGTACGAGCTGCGGTCCTGCCCGACGTGAGGACACCTGTGCAGAAGGAAAGGGGAAAGCGACAGCTTTTAGTCTTCGGATGCAGCACCCAGGGTTCAAGGTGTTCCCAGCAAGAATCTAAGTGCTGGGATGAGCTGCAACTAGGGAGTCTAGCCCTGTAAGTTTCCAAGCCCGTCAGAGCCGCACACGGAAACGCCGTTTACCTTCCCGCTAGTAAGCGGTCCCTATTTATCTACTTGCACCCGGAGGTGCTTTCGAACTGCTAGGTTGGCAGGCGCTGGGACCGAACAACGGGAGCGCACCCCGCCGCGGGGATTCGAACCGCCGACCTTTCGATCGGCAAGCCCTAGGCGCTGAGGCTTTTACCCACAGCGCCACCCGCTGTCCACAGCCCCCAATACCTTGCATCAATGGGATGCGGGTGGCGCTGCGGGTTAACCACAGAGCCTAGGACTTGCCGATCAGAAGTCGGCGGTTCGAATTCCTGCTGACGGGGTGAGCTCCCGTTGCTCAGTCCCTGCTCCTGCCAACCTAGCAGTTCAAAAGCACGTCAAAGTGCAAGTAGATAAATAGGTACCGCTCCGGCGGGAAGGTAAACGGTTTCCGTGTGTTGCTCTGGTTTGCCAGAAGCGGCTTAGTCATGCTAGCCACATGACCCAGAGGCTGTACGCCAGCTCCCTTGGCCAATAAAGCGAGATGAGCGCCGCAACCCCAGAGTCGGTCACCGACTGGACCTAATGGTCAGGAGTCCCTTTACCTTTATACCGTGCATCACAGCTCTGACCGCTGGCCATGTTGGCTGGAGGGCTACTGTTTCTCCACCTCTGAACTAGACCGTCACTTGTCTCACTGCCCCTAAGGGACCACTGACCATGGCAGCTGTGGGCTGAATGGGAAGGTAGAATCTCATCTCAAATGCTGCAGGTTCCCCATCAATGACCAGACCATCACTTGCCTTTACTGCCCCTGCTTCCTTCTCAGTTCTGCCATTTTTTTTTATGCATGGCCAGGCAGCCTGGTTGATGGACAACAAATCCCATTCCTTGTCCCATTGGGCCATGCTGGCTGATGGGAGTTGGCAGTCCAACCATGTTTGGAGAGTCAGAGTTCCCATAACCATTGCACTTCTTTGTTCATTGCCAGTGATCAATTTCCAAAATGAGGGATAGGTGCTTTGTGTCCAGGAAACCTCGCCTCTCAGGTGGCACTTTTGGTTGCTGTGAGTGGACTAGGTGGGGAAGCACTCTGCACATGCTCTTCCGCACCTTCTTTATGCAAAAACCCTAGAGTCCATTGGCCAGTCTTTGCTGACTTTAAAAATAGTTTTGGTAAACTCGTGGGGAGCTTGGGGTCTATTATGGAAAGGTAAAGGTCATGGGCCCCCTTGACGGTTAGAGTCCAGTCACAGGCCACTATGGGGTGTGGCCGCTCATCTCGCTTTCAGGGCTGAGGGAGCCAGCATTTGATCCGCAGACAGGCTTTCCGGGTCATGTGGCCAGCAATGTCTAACGGACAGGGACACCGTGACGGAACACCAGAGCGCACGGAAATGCCGTTTACCTTCCTGGCACAGCAGCACCTACCAGTATTTTTCTGCTCTGATAGAGCACACCCAACCATAGACGCACCTAGTTTTTAGAGGAGGAAAACAAGAAACAAGAAAGCAATGCAAAGCCTCTTGAGTGAAGAGGGAGGAATGCTCCCACTGCGCTCATGAGGCTTTGCGTGGCTATCCCTGAAGCCAGAGAGCAAGAGGGATCGCTGCGCACCAATCCCTCTTGCTCTTCTGGCTTCAGCGATAGCATTCACTCCATAAAATGAAGACACATTCCCCATCTTTTAGGAGGGGGAAAGTTGGCGTCTTATAAAGCAACAGACAACAACAAGGGTTTTATCTACTTTGGCACTGGTGTGCTTTTGAAACTGCCAGGAATCCGTTCCGCGATTCTCTTCGTCTAGCGGTTTTTTCGTCTTGCGAGGCATTCGTCTTGCGGGGCACCTCTGTAGTTGCTCTGGAAAAAAAGTGGGATTCTCTCTTCCCTCTTTTTATTTATTGCACAGAGGTGCTCTTATGTGTGTGTTTTATTACAAATATAGCAGAGGGGGAAAGGGAGAAGGAAGAGGAAAAAACAAACACCACCAATTCCTACTGACATTAAGAATAATTCATCCATCCAAAAAGAGAAGAATAACCCATCAAAAAGGCTGTTGATTTTTCATCAGGTCTTTTTTTAAAAAAATAACCCCATACATACACCCCCCCACCCCCACCCCCACACCATTGATTTATTAACCTCCTTCTCAAGGCAATTTACACATAAGGTAATTTAAAACCGTTAATAACACTTGAGACAACAAAAACACCTAAAGCAAGACTAAAACTGCCACCAGATTCAGCAGAAAACAGTGAGTTTTCTGGGGAAAGCAGACGGGCAAACGAAAACTTCTCGAACTTGTGCCCAGAAAGCACTGGCCAAAACAGAAGTAATATTGTGTGTGTGTATGTGTGTGTGTGTGTGTGTGTGTGTGTGTGTGTGTGGAGGGGGGGGGCAAACTTACTTGGAGACAAATCTTCTGCTCGGTATACAAAGAGCTGGAGCATGGCTCTGCGTACTGCTGGCATTACTGCTGCCTGCAGGAGGTTGGCTTCCAAATCGCCACTGTCTGGCAAATGGGCTGCATCCTTGGAGAAGAGAAAGGCGCAACATAAACCTGTGACCCAGATGCTGGTGGCCCTCTAGATGTTTTTGGCTCACAACCCCATCAGCCCCAGCCTGCCCCAGCTGTGCTGGTGGGGATGGATGGGAACACAGGAAGCTGCCTTGTCATGGATCAGGCCATTGGCCTACCTGGCACAGTGCTGTCCACACTGACCAGCAATGGCTCCCAAGACTTTGGATGGGAGACATTCCCTGCCCCACCTGGAGATGCGGGGGGGGGGGGGCAGGACTTCCTGCAAGCAAAGCAGGTGCTCTGTCAGGGAGCTCCCTTCCCATAATCCTTTTTCAGTCTCAAATATCGGGAGGGCCCTAGGTGGGTGAAAGCTGTCACAGACCATCTCTACAGAACACGGAGGGAGTTTCAGATTCAAACAGGGCATTTTCTGTGTTCATTTCAGTGGCAGCTGCAAAAGAAGCACAAACGCTGTAGCAGGAACAAATGCAATGTTGGAACCAGCCGACAGTTATGCAAGGAAAGCTGTGGAAAACTCAACCCAGTTTAACAGGCATGCCGTCTCCCAAGAAAACAGTAGATCTGGCATGTGGGACCTGCTGTCCTGTAGCTTCTTCCTGTGGTGAGCCACACAGGAGGGCCACATGGGGGCAGGCAATGGTGTAAGGTGGGCCTTTTCGATTTAGCCAGGTACTCAGAGTAGAATTCATGGTTCTGTTTTCAAAACAACCTTATGAGGTAAGGTAATGAATTAATTATAGGTCTTTTCCCGCTGCTTGTTCATGTTCCTGGAAAAGTCTGCAACAGTTCAAATATAGGCACAAATAAAACTAAAGACCACAGAATTGCAAGAGCAATTAAAATTATCTGCAAAAGGTGAGAGAAGGAAAAGCAACAACAAACAAAAGACAGGCTTCAGGCAAACTTCTCTGGGGAGGGTGTTCCATGGCTGGAGTGCTACTACCCAAAAGGCCCTTTAGATAGTGGGGGAACCCCAAGCAGCTTTCCTGTGAAGTTCTTAATGTAGGGGCAGGTGCAAATCGAGACAGGTGGTAAGGTCAAGATGGAGCAACTGGACCCCATTCACCCACTGAGCTTCAGGGCAAAATAGGAGTTTGAACCTTGTTCCCCACAGGAATAAGTCTAACACTCCATATCCACCATCCCAGTCTGGCATAGGAATTTGGGTGGGGACCCCACTTAGTAGAATCATGGAATCATAGTTGGAACGGATCCTGAGGATCATCTAGTTCAGGAATATGCAGCTGTCCCTTACTGAACCCGCAACCTTGATGTTCTCAACACCACACTCTAACTAACTGAGCTGATGTTGGCATCCTGTAGCAGGACCCAGGTATAGATAATATTTATCTTCTTAAAAATGTTGCTGCTAAAATCCCAAGTTCTTCCTATTTAGGCTGCTGGTACAAGGCCACCAAGAGTTCTGCTTGTCTAGTCAGCCTGTCCTGCTCTACTAAACCATTTAGCAAGTTGGCATCTGACCTAGGTAAAGGTACCCCTGCCTGAAGGCCAGTCGTGTCCGACTCTAGGGTTGTGCGCCCATCTCACTTAAGAGGCCAGGGGCCAGCGCTGTCCGGAGACACTTCCGGGTGACGTGGCCAGCGTGACGAAGCTGCTCTGGCGAGCCGGCACCAGAGCAGCACACGGAAACGCTGTTTACCTTCCCGCTAGAAAGTGGTACCTATTTATCTACTTGCACTTTAGGGGTGCTTTCAAACTGCTAGGTGGGCAGGAGCTGGGACCGAAAGACAGGAGCTCACCCCGCCGCGGGGATTCGAACCGCCGACCATGCGATCGGCAAGCCCTAGGCGCTGAGGATTTACCCACAGCGCCACCCGCGTCCCACAGGCGTCTGACCTACCAGTCTTGAAAAATGATCCAAACAAGGCACCCCATCATTTTAATAGCTGCCAATGGCATCACATGAACTTGAATGCCCGTGACAAGCCTCTGTTGAGGTGGTGAAGATGTTGTAATGTAAAGATTTTTACCGGCGCCTGATCTCCAGCTCCAAGGACACAGAGGTGAACTTTCACATAGCCCCTTAGTCCGGCATTGAGATTAGCTGGGTCATAGAGGCTCAGCCATTTGCCCATCAGAGCATGACCTAGGGAAAAGAACAAGAGCCAACATTCACACCATCCAGAAGTGCCATCTAATTGTGGACAGACATTCATTTGAAAAACATTCGAAGATCCTGCTGGATCAGGCTTGGCCAGCATCCTGTTCTCACCAGGGCCTGTCAGATCCCTTTGGGACCCGAGCCCAAGAGCCCTCTCTCCCCCGGGGTTTCCAGCAGCTGGTCTTCAGAAGCCTTGCTGCCTCCAGCCATGGAGGCAGAGCATAGTCATCATGGCCAGCAGCCATCGATTGCCAAGGACAGCCTTTTCCTCCATCCTTTTCTAACGCCATCCTCGATGGCGCCCATCACTGCCTCCTGTGGCAGTGAGTTCCACAGTTCAATATTTTAACTGTTTAACTGCTTTGTGAAGAAGGGCTTTCTTTTATCTGTCCTGAATCTTCCAACATCATTGGTTGTTCATGAGTTCAGGTGTTATGAGAGAGGGAGAAAAACATTTCTCTGTCCACTTTCTCCAGGCCAGGCATCATTTTAGACACCTCTGTCATTTCACCTCTTGCCCACCTTTTCTCTTAACTAAAAAGTCCTCGCAGGGGAGTTGCTATGAGGAACAGTATCACAAGGATGCTTCCTTTTTGTCAAACGTCAATATAAAACTGTGTGACCTGGTCAGAGTCCCTCTTTCCTTACTCTGTAGGTAATATAAGCTGTCAAGCCCTAAATCTGAGGTCTGAGCTGAAACTTTTCACAAGTTTCCATGAATGGTTTTGGCCCTGTTGATGAGGGCTTCCTTTTCCAATTCTTTGAGGCACTCCTTGTGAAAAGGTTAATCCGATTGCTTACATTGCCTCACTAGCTCTCACTCTCAATTGCCTTCAATTGCCATCACCATATACTCAAATCTGACGGGCTCTATAGCGTAGTAATACCATCCCATGTCCTACAATAGCCGGTTTACATTTCATTTCCCACCAATATACATAGAAAATAGGCAATTTAAATATAGTAGTAGCACAACAGCTGTAATATGTAATACAAATATAATGCACTACAATATAAAAAGCATATTAGCACAAAACAACCAGTAGGACAATTAACAGGACCTGACACCAAAAACATCCATGGAGCTTGTGATGTGAGGATGGAGCACAAAGCCCAATGGAGGGCGGAGGAAGGGAACAGTGGCTGAAGGGTCTTGGACACCCTGCCTCCCAAGAGCCCTCAAACTCGCCACTGGCTCAAGACAAAAGTACCTGGAGATTCATACACAAGCTCGATCTCAATCTGCAGAGAGAGAAAAACAGAAGGAGTTACAGGAATTGTCAAGGAAAGGAAAAATTGAGCTGTGGGGAAATTTCAGGGCAATTCAGAATATTGCAAAGAGTTTGTGGTTAGACTAAATTGTGGTGGTTTTTCCATTTTGCGGGAGGTGGGGTTCCCTTCCAATCCTGTGATTTTATAACTAAAATGGGGTTCCACAGGAATAGGGGAGATTGCTAAAATGGTCAAATGCTTCTTTATTAAGGAAATAGCATAGGCAGGTCTATTAAGTATCTGTATTGTAATGTATGCTAATGTGTTGTCACAGAAACTCTAAATCTCTGGAGGCTCTTCTGGGTGGTCAGTGGAAGAGGGTGTGTCTCCCTCCCTCTCCCTGGCTAAAGGGGACGTCTTCAAGACCTTTTCTGTGTGGAAAAGGACACAGGAGAATGGCCGTCTGGGGGCTGGAGCTACAGAAGAGACACAGAGGCCTGACTTGCTCTCTGCAAGAATCCAAAGCTATGCCTTTGGTGACCCACCCCAGGAACCTAAAGTAGGAGGAAGAGATGATCAGCTGGAAGATTAATGCTGTAAACCTTCCAGAACATGCTCAGCCTGTGTTTATAAACCTTCTACCACAGAAATCACCATCAGCCTTCCGTGGCCTTCACTCCAAGGAAACCAACCCAAGGTATGAGCTGGGACTAGGGATTTACAAATTCTGGTTTTCTAAGTTTCTCCTTTTTCCAATCTTAAATTCAGTTCTTCACATTTCTGCAGCAATTTGGTTTTCTTAGTGTGAATTTCCCCTAATTCTTAAATGCAGTTTTGACAAATATAGACATGTTTGCAAGCACTCTCCCCTATGATCATGCATTTTTGTATGGCATTTTCACTGATGTATGCCTGTACAGGCAAACGTTACCCTAATATAACATTGCATTTAGTAGTTGTTGCTCTAATGTAATTAGCTGCCATAAATAGAGCCTGTTTAAGTGTTGGATGTTGCCAGATGTTGAGTGCTACCAGTGGTAAAACAACAAACAAACAATGAATGAATGAATGAATGAATGAATGAATGTCAAAAGCTTGGCTGAGAGATCAGAACTTCTGAAAAAGACTCTTTCCCTTGTCTTGGGGGCCAGCCCAGGGCAGCTCAAGGCCCAGTCCTGAGTTCAGGCCCACTGAGCAGCACCAGCAGGGAGGCACCTCTTGATTTCTGCCTCTCTGTAGATATCAGCCCAAATTGCACCCTGGAGACCCCAAGGAGGGAATCGGCCCGTATTGCCTTGGAGTTCAGCACCTAAAAAAGAAACACACATAAATTCCCCTCCCCTCCCACAAAGCTGCCTTGTTCGTCTAGTATAGGGGTTGGCAATGCAGTGCCTCCAGATGTTGAGGACTACAATTCCTATCACCCTTGATCACTGATTCAGCTGATGGGAGCTGAATTCCAAAATACTGTATGTGGAGGCCCCCCCCCACCACACTGGTTGTGTCTGGTCTGAGTAAGAGGCAATTGTGGCCTCAGTCGCAACTCCACTCTCCCCCAGGCAGTGACTAAAACAAGGAGTGATAAAATAAATTCAACCAGACAACAATCTGGATTAAAAATGGCCACAGCTTTATTGACTGCAGAAGTAGGTGGAATTTTGGCGCAGGCATCGGGTGTCTATTTGTCCTAGCCTGCTGCCGGAGGGCTGAAACATTTTCAGGGTTATGCCAAGGACTTTGGCCTCTCCGAGACCCCAAGCTACTGAGGTGGCCATGCTAAGGCCATTTGCTGGAAGCTCTAAGGCCCGCCTGCCCCATGCTTGGCTTCTGGACAGAGACTTCCACCCTCTAATGGGGTGCCCTGAATACGCTGCTGGTACTGGACTGGGCAATGCACCTTCACCCAAAAGATATGGAGGGCACCACACCACATGGGTTGCCCCTAGTCGAAGTGAGATCCATTTAGCAGCTGCATTATCCTTTTACCACTTGCATTGGGGCTTCTTTTGTATCTCTGAGGAAAAGGAATAGATTTAAGAGTTTAAAATTCAAAACAGGCAACCCAGCAACAACCAAGTGTCTGCACAGAGGGTGCGGAAGAATGGAAAACATAATCAATGGAAGCTGGAGGAAGGTGACTCAAGAGCCACCAGCCCACACCACTTCTTCTGGGTGTACACACCACACTTGCCTACCGTCAGGCTAGGCGGGGAAAGGGCCACAGTCCAGAGGGAGACTACCTGCTTTGCCTGCTGAAAGTCCCAGGTAAAGCTGAGAAAGACATCTGTTTGAAACCCTGGAGAGCTGCTGCCAGCCAGTGTATAACAAATACCCCAGCAGCCTGATTTGATACAAGACAACTTCCTGATTTGAAAGAGCTAAGAAAAAGTGTCAGGTCAAGCTTGGACTTCACTTGGGCAATGGTGCGTTGGTTTTCTATCCTTATTTCTGGCTCCCCTGCCTGATGGCATCTTCTTAGCCTCATTCCCAGGAAAGGGTGTCTCCTGCTTTTGCCCTGCTAGCTCTCTCAGCCCACATCCACATCATAAAGTGCCATGATACCACTTTAAACAGTCCTGGCTTCCCCCAAAGGGTTCTGGAGCTGTCGTTTGTTAAGAGTGCCAGAGTTGTCAGGAGACCCCCATTCCCCTCCTAAAGCTACAGTTCCTACAGTGGTTTAACAATCCCTCTCCTCAGGGACATCTGGGAATTATAGCTCTGTGAAGGGGAGAGGGGCCTCCTTAATGGCACCCTTCATGGTACAGCTCCCAGAACCCTTTGGGGAAAGTCAGGACTGTTTAAAGTGGTATCATGGCACTTTATGATGTGGATGTGGGCTGAGAGAGCTAGCAGGGCAAAAGCAGGAGACACCCTTTCCTGGGAATGAGGCCTAAGAAGATGCCATCAGGCAGGGGAACCAGAAATAAGGATAGAAAACCAACGCACCATTGCCCAAGTGAAGTCCAAGCTTGACCCTGACACTTTTTCTTAGCTCTTTCAAATCAGGAAGTTGTCTTGTATCAAATCAGGCTGCTGGGGTATTTGTTATACACTGGCTGGCAGCAGCTCTCCAGGGTTTCAAACAGATGTCTTTCTCAGCTTTACCTGGGACTTTCAGCAGGCCAAGCAGGTAGTCTCCCTCTGGACTGTGGCCCTTTCCCCGCCTAGCCTGACGGTAGGCAAGTGTGGTGTGTACACCAGAAGAAGTGGTGTGGGCTGGTGGCTCTGAGTCACCTTCCTCCAGCTTCCATTGATTATGTTTTCCATTCTTCCGCACCCTCTGTGCAGACACTTGGTTGTTGCTGGGTTGCCTGTTTTGAATTTTAAACTCTTAAATCTATTCCTTTTCCTCAGAGATACAAAAGAAGCCCCAATGCAAGTGGTAAAAGGATAATGCAGCTGCTAAATGGATCTCACTTCGACTAGGGGCAACCCATGTGGTGTGGTTGCCCCTCCATATCTTTTGGGTGAAGGTGCATTGCCCAGTCCAGTACCAGCAGCGTATTCAGGGCACCCCATTAGAGGGTGGAAGTCCTCTGTCCAGAAGCCAAGCATGGGGCAGGCGGGCCTTAGAGCTTCCAGCAAATGGCCTAGCATGGCCACCTCAGTAGCTTGGGGTCTCGGAGAGGCCAAAGTCCTTGGCAATAACCCTGAAAATGTTTCAGCCCTCCGGCAGCAGGCTAGGACAAATAGACACCCGATGCCTGCGCCAAAATTCCACCTACTTCTGCAGTCAATAAAGCTGTGGCCATTTTTAATCCAGATTGTTGTCTGGTTGAATTTATTTTATCACTCCTTGTTTTAGTCACTGCCTGGGGGAGAGTGGAGTTGCGACTGAGGCCACAATTGCCTCTTACTCAGACCAGACACAACCAGTGTGGTGGGGGGGGGGGCCTCCACATACAGTATTTTGGAATCAGCTCCCATCAGCTGAATCAGTGATCAAGGGTGATAGGAATTGTAGTCCTCAACATCTGGAGGCACTGCATTGCCAACCCCTATACTAGACGAACAAGGCAGCTTTGTGGAGGGGAGGGGAATTTATGTGTGTTTCTTTTTTAGGTGCTGAACTCCAAGGCAATACGGGCCGATTCCCTCCTTGGGGTCTCCAGGGTGCAATTTGGGCTTGATATCTAACAGAGAGGCAGAAATCAAGAGGTGCCTCCCTGCTGGTGCTGCTCAGTGGGCCTGACTCAGGACTGGGCCTTGAGCTGCCCTGGGCTGGCCCCCCAAGACAAGGGAAAGAGTCTTTTTCAGAAGTTCTGATCTCTCAGCAAGCTTTTGACATCATTCATTCATTTCATTCATTCATTGTTGTTTGTTGTTTTACCACTGGTAGCACTCAACATCTGGCAACATCCAACACTTAAACAGGCTCTATTTATGGCAGCTAATTACATTAGAGCAACAACTACTAAATGCAATGTTTATATTAGGGTAACGTTTGCCTGTACAGCATACATCAGTGAAAATGCCATACAAAAATGCATGATCATAGGGAGAGTGCTTGCAAACATGTCTATATTTGTCAAAACTGCAATTTAAGAATTAGGGGAAATTCACACTAAGAAAACCAAAATTGCTGCAGAATGTGAAGAACTGAATTTAAGATTGGAAAAAGGAGAAACTTAGAAACCAGAATTTGTAAATCCCTAGTCCCAGCTCATACCTTGGGTTGGTTTCCTTGGAGTGAAGGCCACGGAAGGCCTGATGTGATTTTCTGTGGTAGAAGGTTTATAAACACAGGCTGAGCATGTTCTGGAAGGTTTACAGCATTAATCTTCCAGCTGATCATCTCTTCCTCCTACTTTAGGTTCCTGGGTGGGTCACCAAAAGGCATAGCTTTGATTCTTGCAGGAGAGCAAGTCAGGCCTCTGTGTCTCTTCTGTAGCTCCAGCCCCCAGAACGGCCATTCTCCTGTGTCCTTTTCCACACAGAAAAGGTCTTGAAGACGTCCCCCTTTAGCCAGGGGAGAGGGAGGGAGACACACCCTCTTCCACTGACCACCAGAAGAGCCTCCAGAGATTTAGAGTTTCTGTGACAACACATTAGCATACATTACAATACAGATACTTAATAGACCTGCCTATGCTATTTCCTTAATAAAGAAGCATTTGACCATTTTAGCAATCTCCCCTATTCCTGTGGAACCCCATTTTAGTTATAAAATCACAGGATTGGAAGGGAACCCCACCTCCCGCAAAAATGGAAAAACCACCACAATTTAGTCTAACCACAAACTCTTTGCAATATTCTGAATTGCCCTGAAATTTTCCCCACAGCTCAATTTTTCCTTTCCTTGACAATTCCTGTAAACTCCTTCTGTTTTTCTCTCTCTGCAGATTGAGATTCGAGCTTGTGTATGAATCTCCAGGTACTTTTGTCTTGAGCCAGTGGCGAGTTTGAGGGCTCTTGGGAGGCAGGGTGTCCAAGACCCTTCAGCCACTGTTCCCTTCCTCCGCCCTCCATTGGGCTTTGTGCTCCATCCTCACATCACAAGCTCCATGGATGTTTTGGTGTCAGGTCCTGTTAATTGTCCTACTGGTTGTTTTTGTGCTAATATGCTTTTTATATTGTAGTGCATTATATTTGTATTACATATTACAGCTGTTGTGCTACTACTATATTTAAATTGCCTATTTTCTATGTATATTTGGTGGGAAATGAAATGTAAACCGGCTATTGTAGGACATGGGATGGTATTACTACGCTAAGAGCCCGTCAGATTTGAGTATATGGTGATGGCAATTGAAGGCAATTGAGAGTGAGAAGCTAGTGAGGGCAATGTAGCAATCGGTATTAACCTTTTCACAAGGAGTGCCCTCAAAGAATTGGAAAAGGAAGCCCTCATCACAGGGCCAAAACCATTCATGGAAACTTGTGAAAAGTTTCAGCTCAGACCTCAGATTTAGGGCTTGACAGCTTATATTGACCTACAGAGTAAGGAAAGAGGGACTCTGACCAGGTCACACAGTTTTATTATTGGACGTTTGACAAAAAGGAAGCATCCTTGTGATACTGTTACCTCATAGCAACTCCCCTGCGAGGACTTTTTAGTTAAGAGAAAAAGGTGGGGCAAGAGGTGAAATGACAGAAGGTGTCTAAAATGATGCCTGGCCTGGAGAAAGTGGACAGAGAAATGTTTTTCTCCCTCTCTCATAACACCTGAACTCATGAACAACCAATGATGTTGGAAGATTCAGGACAGATAAAAGAAAGCCCTTCTTCACAAAGCAGTTAAACAGTTAAAATATTGAACTGTGGAACTCACTGCCACAGGAGGCAGTGATGGCCGCCATCGAGGATGGCGTTAAAAAGGATGGAGGAAAAGGCTGTCCTTGGCAATCGATGGCTGCTGGCCATGATGACTATGCTCTGCCTCCATGGCTGGAGGCAGCAAGGCTTCTGAAGACCAGCTGCTGGAAACCCCGGGGGAGAGGGCTCTTGGGCTCGGGTCCCAAAGGGATCTGACAGGCCCTGGTGAGAACAGGATGCTGGCCAAGCCTGATCCAGCAGGATCTTCGAATGTTTTTCAAATGAATGTCTGTCCACAATTAGATGGCACTTCTGGATGGTGTGAATGTTGGCTCTTGTTCTTTTCCCTAGGTCATGCTCTGATGGGCAAATGGCTGAGCCTGACCCAGCTAATCTCAATGCCGGACTAAGGGGCTATGTGAAAGTTCACCTCTGTGTCCTTGGAGCTGGAGATCAGGCGCCGGTAAAAATCTTTACATTACAACATCTTCACCACCTCAACAGAGGCTTGTCACGGGCATTCAAGTTCATGTGATGCCATTGGCAGCTATTAAAATGATGGGGTGCCTTGTTTGGATCATGGAATAAAGCATCATTTTCAAGACTGGTAGGTCAGACGCCTGTGGGACGCGGGTGGCGCTGTGGGTAAATCCTCAGCGCCTAGGGCTTGCCGATCGCATGGTCGGCGGTTCGAATCCCCGCGGCGGGGTGAGCTCCTTTCGGTCCCAGCTCCTGCCCACCTAGCAGTTCGAAAGCACCCCTAAAGTGCAAGTAGATAAATAGGTACCGCTTTCTAGCGGGAAGGTAAACAGCGTTTCCGTGTGCTGCTCTGGTGCCGGCTCGCCAGAGCAGCTTCGTCACGCTGGCCACGTGACCCGGAAGTGTCTCCGGAC